ACTACACCACGCACTCAGTTTGAAGACTACGTGCATCGCGAGGCACCAGCGCGATCCCAAAAGGGCTCAAATTCTGGCCAGATAAAGCAGGCGGGACAGGAGCAGCCCTCCTCCGCACACGTCGTAGAAAGCGGCGATCAGCCTTCAAGTGTTACCTAATGAGGATTTGCTTCCGCGAATGACATGGCTATTTTCAATTCGATGACGCTATCAATAGTTGAGTGCAAAGTTCTGTTTCTCTGCAGTCTAACCCGACGATGTGTTGTGAAGATTATGCGGGGAGACGCAGCGCCGGCCTGACGTCTGGCCGCGGCGACAGATTGCTCGTTTGCCGCGTTTTAAGACGCATGACATCCATTCGTACGCGCGCGTTCAATGTTGCTTCGTCTGCATATTTCCCTCACCGCATCCTCCACTCGCTACAACGACGACGCAGGATGATACACTCGCATAGGATGTCACGCCACGATGTCACTCGAGGAATTGACCAGTGAGTCCTTCATTTTAATCCACATTATTCAGTGCACTAAAAATCCGCCGGGTTAAAAGCTTCACATGGAGCGGGACGCGGTTGAGGAAGCCCCCCACAGTGGGTCGCACTTGAAGTCACTCAGTAGGGAGGTCTAACCGGCATGCTCAAGAAAGGTTTACATTGATCTCAAGGGGCACATATTTAGGGAAAAAGCTAAGATTCAATCGTTCCTGGCAAATTAAATATTTCTTTTCTCTCCCCACTCGTTCTGCAAAATGGAGGTAAAGAAGGGTTGCAGCTGGACTTCTCTGGTGAAGGAGGGTGAGGGCAGTCATTGGAAACTACCCAAGGCACGGTTGAGAATCCCCAGCAGGGGTGATATTCGGTCGCTTGAGAGTACGGTGTTGTATTTGGTTGTATGATTGTCGAATTTCTTGTCCCAGGCGCACCACCGCCTCTCCGTATGTCACTGTTTCTGCTAGTTGTCTCCCACTCTCCTCCCCTCCCCCACCTCGCTCTCAGCTCTACGGCAAACTTTAAGAAAAATTTAGCAAGATGATTGGGCAGTTTTATTAGCATTCGAGCTCGATTGAACAGGGAGCGCGTCGACTCGCATCGCAAGGTCTGAACCAGTATACAACGTCGCTATGGTTGAATCGGTACGACCGCCTTCCCCTCCCCCCCCCACCCCGAAATTCCTTTTCACTACGACTCCCCGAATCTCCTGCTGAAGGGTCCTCTAGTACGATTCCCTTTCCCATTCTACCTGCTATCTGGCCAAAATCTCCGAGCTCCCTACCAGTTTCTTAGAAATTTTCTAAAAAAGTGGCGTCAATCTGGAGGGAAGACCCTCTACTATCGAGTGCCAACTTTTATACATCAGTTCTGCTAGTTATACATCAGTTTTCAAGTGCCACCAACTAGGGGGAGTTACCTAGCTATGAAACACCCCACCCCATCAACCAAGTGCCACCCCTCGATCGGGTTCTTCCAGTGATGCTGTTCCCTGGTCTAAACAGAGCTTGACTTCCCGAGGTCGGGAAAGATGCCTTCATATTGCCCACTATAGCTTTCTCTTTTTC